GTATCACAATGGGAGCATAAATACTGTAATTATGAAGGATTGGACCCACAAATTCCAAAAGAGAGCAATCTTATAAAATGGGAATGGGTAACTCCAGGACCTTGGGCAAGCTACCAATTTCATCATCTGTAAAAAGTAATTTATGGAAAGCACCTTGCATATTCTCAAAACAATAGTTCATGTAGATCCTGGACCTCATTCTCAGAGGCACAGCTTATGCAGATCCTGAACCCAGTGAATGATCTTTCTAGCCCTTAAGTTTTCTGATACTGCTGAGATTGTCTTTGAAGCCTCATTACTTAGCTGTCTGAGAAATCCACCAAATCATATGACAGGCAAGCTCTGCCATCTTGGGACCATGCCCTTACATAAAAGGGTATTTTCAGAAGAAATCTATGACTGCTCTCCACCAGAGATCAAGATCCCAGAATCCCTTATAGATATTTTAAGTCTTTGTGTCATTCATAAATGTGATTGTGAATTTCACTGAAGAAACAGAGAGATCCAGACTCTGCTCCAAGAGTCTTCTACTGGGCTATCATGCTGGAGAAGTACAGGAACCTGCTCCCCCTTAGGATTCCCATTTTCTAAACCTTGCATCACTTACCATGTGGAACAAACAGTAATCTCATGGGTAATAATACAAGAGGTAAAAGGATTAAGAACCATATGTACACACTTGAAGACCAGAACGTCAAAGCAAAGAAGGTGTTTTCTGGCAAAAAAAAAAATCATACAAGGGGATAGACACACAAGGAATTATTATAAAGACTAATGTAGGGATCTCTAGTCTGACGGAGTCCTGGGGAATATGGTGGCTATTTAGAGATCAAACAGGGTACTCAAAAGACTAGACTCTGGAAATAAGGTTGTGGGGAAGTCTTTAGTGAGAAAAGAACATTGGGAGTAGATAGTAAGCCCATATACATTTAATGTGGCAGGTGTGTTAATCTGAAGTCAGACTTTGTCATTCAACCAAAGTATACTAAGGAAGAGGAAGGAGAAAGTTCTCTGGTGTAATGAATGTGGTAAAATCATCAATGACTACAAAGCTTATGTTTGGAATCATATAATTCACATCAGAAAGGAAATTTGGAATATTATCATTACAAAAATGCCTTTGTAATCATAGTGTCCATTGCACTGAACATCAAAGAACTAACTAGTATTAGAGAGAAGTCTTGAGAAGTTAGAAAAGTCTATAGCTGGAACTCATACTTTGCCAAACATCATCAGAGTACTCACTATGAGAAGGAAAGTAATGTGCACGAAAGAGTCTTAATTCAGAACATGCCATTCATTTAACATCAGAGAATCCAAAATGGAGGCAAGCTTTATGAATATAATGAATGTAGAAAAATTTTCAGTGATTAGTCGGTCTTTTTAGCACATCATAGAGCCTATTGGAGAGAAACCCTGTGAATGTGGTTAAGTGTAGGAAGACTCTTATTCAGATACTGCACATTTTAAACCTCAGCTAATTCATACTGGAGAGAAATCTTATGAATGAAATTCATGTGGTAAAGCCATCACTCACAGTTCATCCTGTTTTTGTTTTTGTTTGAGACAGACTTCCACTATGTAGCTTTGGCCTGCCTGGAACTTACTATGTAGACCAGGCTGACCTAGAACTTACGGCGATCTTCCTCCCTCTGCTTCACAAGTGCTGGCATTATAGGCATGACGTACACACCCAGCTTTTCAGCTCATTTTGAGCATTCATTTATTCACACTGGAGAGAAAACTTGTGAATGTATCAGATTTGGCAAAATCAGTCAGAGCTCGCACCTCTAGCAACATCTGAGCACTCACACAGAAAAGAAGCCTTATGCCTGTAAGGACTGTAATAAAGCCTTTATTTGACACCACATAACTCATACGGAGACAACTTCTGCAAATGTAAAGAATATGCCAAAGCCTTGGGTCCAAACTAAACTCTCACAAAACATAAGAAAATCCATATTAGAGAGAAACCCTGCAGGGAAAGCCTTCAGGAAGAGTTTGTCCCTTAGTAAATATCAAAGGTTCATATTGGAGAGAAATTATTCAACTGTCAGAACTATTGGGAAGCCTTCAGCAGAAATGTCCATCTTGCTCAACACTAAAGCATCAACACTGGGGAGAAACCTGGTGAGTGTAGTGAATATGGCAGCACTCATTAAGCACCAGAGACTTCTCAATGGAGAATCACCCTAAAGGTATGGGTAAATGCCTTTAGACTTTGGTTTTCTTAAATGCCAAAGATTCAAATTCCTCAGATTGTTAGAACTGATGCTTTTTTTATTTGGAAGGATGGCCCTCCCCCATTTTCTTGTGGAAAGTACTAGCTGTCAGAATTTCATACATCCAAGTGAAAAACATTGATCTAAAATCTGGAATAGACTAATCAACTTTCTAGAGCAGAAAAATGGTGAGCTTTGGGGGTGGGTGGGCTGAAGAGATGGCTCAATAGTTAAAAGCACTGACTGCTCTTGCAGAAAACCCAAATTCAGGTCCAAGCACCCACATGGTGACTAATAACCATCTGTAACTCCAGTTCCAGGAGATCTGACACCCTCCTTTGACCACCTCGGGAATTGCTCAACAGGTGTGTACTTGTATACATGCAGGCAATACGTTCACATGCATAAAATAAAAATAACAAAACATTTAAAAATGATGAGGTTCTTTTTGTATTATTGTTGTTACTACAATCTGCATTGACCCTTCTGAGTGGTAGTGGGGACTGATGACTGAAGAGAAGACTGATCATCAGGAGACTCTCACATAATACCAGAAAAATATCCAATTGAACAGATGCAAAATTCACAGCATAAAATATAAGAAATATGAAAAAGCAAGACAAAATGAATATTCAAAAACATAACTCTTTAATATTTGAGTTCAAAGATATCAAAATTATTGAAATGCTGGTTAATAAATTTCTAAAATCTAGTACTAAATATTATTAACAATGTCAAAGAAGGCACATATAAACAGATAAATGAAGGAAACAATTCAAGACTTGGGCAAGAAATTTAGCAAATTGGATGAGAAATTTAATAAAGAGATAGAGATTCTGAAAAGTAAAATCCAAACAAGTCTTGGAAATGAAATGCTCAATAAATCAAATTAAAAAGTCAGTGAAAAGCATCATCAATATACTAGCTTGAGTCAAAGAAAAAATGTCAGGGACAAAGGCAAGATTGAGGAATTACTACATTCAGGGAACAATTAAGAAAATGGGGGCTAGAGAGATGACTGGGTGGTTAAAAGTGCTTGCTGCTCATTCAGTGGACATGAATTCAGTTCCCAGAACCCATCAGATAGCTTACAGTCACCTGTAACTCCAGATCCGGGTGATCCGACACCCTCTACTGGACTCCCTAGGTATTCCCCCAGGCATACACACACACACACACACACACACACACACACACACACACACACAAACACAAATATATCTTTTTCAAAAGGAAAGAAAAAATAAGTAACCATGTCTACAATTCTCGAAACCTCTGGGACATGGTTATGAGACCAAACCTATGAATTAATATAATAAAGGCTCTACACAAGAGGAAATACTAAAAGTATTTCTTCTATATCAAAAACAAAGCAAGAATGTCTACTTTCACTATTCTTCTTCAATAAAGTACTTGAACATTTACCAGGGCAAAATGAAAAGAAGAAGAGGGTCTAGAGAGATGGTTCAGCAGTTAGGAGCACTATCTGCTTTTCCAAGAGGACCTGAGTTTGGTTCAAGCACTCATGTCAGGTGGGTCACAACTTCCTATAACTCCAGCTTCAGGGGATTCTGATACCTCTGGCCTTCTGTAGGTACTTGTACTTGCAAGCAGATCTCTGTGAGTTCAAGGCCAGCCTGGTCTATATAGGAAGTTCCAGGCCAGCCAGGGATACACAGTAGGACTCTGTCTCAAACAAAAACAAACAAAAAATAAGACTTTTAGATCCAATTAATAAATTTAACGAACTAACAGAATACAAAATCAACACTCAAAAATTACTGTTTTATTTATACACCAAAAATCAACTAAGAAAGCAGTTCCAAAAGCAATCCCATTCACAATAGTCTCCAAAAGAATAAAGTGCATTGGAGTTAACCTTACCAAGGAGGAGAAAGACTTCCATAATGAAACCTATAAAGCATTGAAGATAAATTGATGGACAGTCTAAAAGTTGAGAAATGACCCTCTATGTTCATGGATCAGCTGAATATTGAGATGGTGATATTACTAAAAGTGATCAACAGGGATCAGAAGTCCAAGGCCAACCTCAAGTGTTGTCTGGGCTAAATGAGACCCTGTTTCCAAAAACTAAATAAATACATAAAATCATGTATGTATGTATGTATGTATGTATGTATGTATGTATGTATGACGTGAATATAGAAGCAAAACTGTGAAAGAGTACAAGAGAGACTAACAGGAGGGTAGGGGCGAGAAAAGGGAGTGTAGGCAGTATTAGAGTACTATGCACAATCTTTTATACTTGTACAAAAACTGAGTACAAGGGGGAAATTCATCAGAGTTCTAAAGGTATAAAATTCTAAGCAGGCATCTGCAGTGGTTTGAATGACAATACTCCCCCATAGGCTCTAAGTATATGTACATTTTCTCCCCAGTAGGTGGTGCTGTTTTGGGAGGTTTTAGGAGGTGTGGCCTTGCTAGAGGAAGCACTTCACTTGGGGGTAGGCTTTGAGAGTTCTTAAGCCTTGCTGGATTTCCAGTCTTCTCTGCTTTCTGTGCCTGCTTGGAGATGTGTGCGCTGGCTTTCTGCTCTGGCCACCTCTGCCACTATGCCTCCCCCACCATGCTGGACTTTTACCCCTCTGGAACTGTAAGCAAAATAATACTCTTCCTTTTATAAGCTGTTTTGGTTAGTGTTTTATCACAGCAACAGAAAAGTAACACACAAGCATAAGTTTAAATCTTCACGAACTTGGATTAGGCAGAGGTTTCTTCCTGACAACATGAAAATAACATTGAAAAAGAGTGCGTGAATTACATTTCACCAAAATCAAAGCCTTTGGTCCTTCTTCCTTGTGCAGAGACCATGTTAATTTTGTCTGTATCATTCTAATTTTAGTGTATGTGCTGCAAAAGTGAGCATGATGTGGGTGCTTCAAAGGATATTGCCCAGGAAGCAATAAAGCAAACTACAGAACAGAAGAAAATATTTACAAATCATGTATCACAGTTTGAATAAAAAATATGCTCAAAAGACTTCTAAACAGAATATCATTGTCACATGATATTTTTATAATTATAATAGCATGAACAATTAATGTTCAGCTATGTCCCAAATTGTATCACAAATATTTTTGTTATGGCTGTTTTGCTCAACCTGAGATTCAAATATAATCCACTCACTACCCTTGACTGATATGTCTTGAGTGTCTTTTAATCTGGAGTACTTATCTCCTCTGTCACTTTCTTTTCTGTTTTTGAAGCAATATTGACTGGATTGTCTCTACTGTGTCTCCAAGCTTTCTGGTTATGCTAATATATTACTTATCTTCTGTACATTTTTATGTTGCTTTCTAGAAGCTTGTTGGGAATTATTATTTTTTTTTGTTTTTTTTTTTTTGGTCTTTTTGAGACAGGGTCTCCCTGTAGCCCCAGCTGTCCTGGAACTCACTATGTAGACCAGGCTGGCCTTGAGCTCACAGAGATCTGCCTGCCTCTGCCTCCCAAGTGCTGGGATTAAAGGTGTGCACCACCACGCCCAGCATTAGTTTGATTTTTATGCAAGATTTCTTTGTATGTGAAGTTGTAGACGCCATCAGGAAGTATATAATATCTGCTTTTCTGTGCTGGTGAAGATATTAGCCATTGAAAATCCTTTTCTAGCTGCACTGTTTTATTAAAGCTAATGAAACCATGACTTTCTATGATTTCCTTTTTACTTGTTACATGCAATATTCCTGCAAAAAATAGTGTCTTTGAGGCCAGAAAGATGGCTCAGTGGGTAAAAGCACTTACAGCCAAGCTTGATAGCCCTAGTCTGATTCTTGGAATTCACATAGTGGAAGAAGAAAACCAGCTCCCACAAGTTGTCCTCTTATCTACACACACACACACACACACAAACACTAAATAAATAAATAAATAAATATTAAAATAATCTTTAAAGAACAGAAGAATATTATTCCTTTTTAAAACTATGTAGTTACCCTGAGGTACATCACACATTTATGATCATTTGTTTTATTTGTTTCTAGCCCCAGCTGGCCTGGAACTTACTATGTACATCAGGCTGGCCCCAAACTCACAGAGATCTGCCTGCCTCTGCCTCCCAGGCACTGAGATTAAAGGCCAGAACCACCATGCCCAGCATACCACACATTTATGAAAAACGGGATAGATAGTTGCATCATTCTCTTTTATTTTTCGTTTCTAAATAAGTTCACCTCCAGCATTGTTTTGAAACATCATTCTGAATGAATACACTGAAATAGATTTTTCATTGAAATAGATTTAATATGTTTTAATCCATTACAATTATTATTGTAATTGATACTCAAATTGTCCCCTCTTTGAACTACAGAAGCTTTTTAGTTGTTTCTTGTGGTGGTGGGGATCAAACCTAGGTTTTTTGGCTTTTTGAGACAGGGTCTCCCGGTTGCCCCAGCTGGTGTGAAACACACTATGTAGACCAAGCTGGCCTTGAACTCACAGAGATCTGCCTGTCTCTGCCTCCCAAGTGCTGGGATTAGAGGCCCACGCCACCATGCCTGGCTAGGCAATAGGTTTACAAAGAATCAACATCTCTAAACCTTGCTTCTGAGTCTTTTACCTCACCCAGTGGTCTTTGATACTTGTTTTGGTATGACAATATGTTCTAGGAGATCATTTTGCAATTTTCCTACTCCAATCCTATTTATTGTTTAACAAAAACATACTCAAGTGGTCCATTTATGGCTTGGCCCCTAAAATAAACTAAGATACACCATTCACCTGCTAGAGCCATTTTTGTAATGAGACTTGCAAAACATTGAATTAAGAGGTGGCAGCAGATATTAAATAAATCCTAAGGGAAAGAAAGTAGGATATGGAATTCTTGACTCATTAATCCTTCAAGATATTCTTCTTCTTGGAATTACAATTCCTCTGAGTGTTTCTGGACGATTCATTATCAGTCAAGAGGTAAGAATATAGCTACTGAAAGATTTTGTTGTTAAGCTTCATTGGAGATAGCTTGGTGCATACTCATCCATGTAAATGGTTTTATCTAACTATTTCCATGCTAAGAATTATAAATAGAAAATCACTGTCTCCAAGCCACCCTAACTTTGCTATTTGGTTGCTTGGCAATGTTTAGATTGGCTAAAATGTGAGAATGAATTAAGCTATCCTATACATAAAGACACTTGCTATATATTTTGCAGTACTAAATTTTTTTCTTTAATCTTTGAACACAATGCTTCTGGTTGACACATCATACAATCTGCCTCTTTCTAAAGTGAATGTTTGAGAGCTAATTTTTCTGAGACTCTTGGATACAGGCAACAAGTCTTTTCTTTGTGAAAAATTGGAACATTCTGCAGAGGGAAACCCAATAGTCTAGGCTGGCTGACCCACCAGCTCCAGAGATCTCTGCCTCCCCAGCACTGGGATTGCAAGCACAAGCTACCTCCCTACCCCAGCTTTTGTTTTATGTGGGTTCTGGGGATCAAACATACGTCCTTATCTTTGCAATGCAATCACTTTACCAACTGAACTACTTCCCCAGCCCTCCTCCCAATACATATTTTCTGCTTTGTTACCATAAAAATCTTTATTTATATTAAGACTCATTTAACCCATATTTTTAAGGAGTTAAAGTAAGATTCGGTAGCAAAAATTATTGTGGATCAAAAATCATTAAATAAAACTAATTGCAATTTATATGTATATTAAAAAAACAAATTTTTCATATGAACAGTTAATAGGGGAAACTACTCATCTTTGACATTATAGGGCCCTTGGGCATGGAATGATTGTGCAGAAGGCAGTGGGTTTGAAACTGGAGAGCTAACGTTGCCAGCTGTTTATAGTCTCCTTGGTGTGAATGTGTTCCTATAGGCCACCTTTTCTCTCTCTCTCTCTCTCTCTCTCTCTCTCTCTCTCTCTCTC